AACATGTCTGACCTAGTAACCAGATCTAGACCACCATGTCTGACCTAGTAACCAGATCTAGACCACCATGTCTGACCTAGTAACCAGATCTAGACCACCGTGTCTGACCTAGTAACCAGATCTAGACCACCATGTCTGACCTAGTAACCAGATCTAGACCACCGTGTCTGACCTAGTAACCAGATCTAGACCACCATGTCTGACCTAGTAACCAGATCTAGACCACCATGTCTGACCTAGTAACCAGATCTAGACCACCATGTCTGACCTAGTAACCAGATCTAGACCACCATGTCTGACCTAGTAACCAGATCTAGACCACCATGTCTGACCTAGTAACCAGATCTAGACCACCATGTCTGACCTAGTTACCAGATCTAGACCACCATGTCTGACCTAGTAACCAGATCTAGACCACCATGTCTGACCTAGTAACCAGATCTAGACCACCATGTCTGTCCTAGTAACCAGATCTAGACCACCATGTCTGACCTAGTAACCAGATCTAGACCACCGTGTCTGACCTAGTAACCAGATCTAGACCACCATGTCTGACCTAGTAACCAGATCTAGACCACCATGTCTGACCTAGTAACCAGATCTAGACCACAGACCTAGTAACCAGATCTAGACCACAGACCTAGTAACCAGATCTAGACCAACATGTCTGACCTAGTAACCAGATCTAGACCACCGTGTCTGACCTAGTAACCAGATCTAGACCACCATGTCTGACCTAGTAACCAGATCTAGACCACAGACCTAGTAACCAGATCTAGACCACCGTGTCAGACCTAGTAACCAGATCTAGACCACAGACCACCATGTCTGACCTAGTAACCAGATCTAGACCGCCATGTCCGACCTAGTAACCAGATGTAGACCACCATGTCTGACCTAGTAACCAGATCTAGACCACCGTGTCTGACCTAGTAACCAGATCTAGACCACCGTGTCTGACCTAGTTACCAGATCTAGACCACCATGTCTGACCTAGTTACCAGATCTAGACCACCATGTCTGACCTAGTAACCAGATCTAGACCACCTTGTCTGACCTAGTAACCAAATCTAGACCACCATGTCTGACCTAGTAACCAGATTTAGACCACCATGTCTGACCTAGTAACCAGATCTAGACCACCGTGTCTGACCTAGTAACCAGAACTAGACCACCGTGTCTGACCTAGTAACCAGATCTAGACCACAGACAGCGTGTCTGACCTAGTAACCAGATCTAGACCACCATGTCTGACCTAGTAACCAAATCTAGACCACCGTGTCTGACCGAGTAACCAAATCTAGACCACCGTGTCTGACCGAGTAACCAAATCTAGACCACCATGTCTGACCTAGTAACCAAATCTAGACCACCGTGTCTGACCGAGTAACCAAATCTAGACCACCGTGTCTGACCGAGTAACCAAATCTAGACCACCGTGTCTGACCTAGTCACCAGATCTAGACCACCATGTCTGACCTAGTAACCAGATCTAGACCACCATGTCTAACCTAGTAACCAGATCTAGACCACCATGTCTGACCTAGTAACCAAATCTAGACCACCGTGTCTGACCTAGTAACCAGATCTAGACCACCATGTCTGACCTAGTAACCAGATCTAGACCACCATGTCTGACCTAGTAACCAGATCTAGACCACCATGTCTAACCTAGTAACCAGATCTAGACCACCATGTCTGACCTAGTAACCAGATCTAGACCACCATGTCTGACCTAGTAACCAGATCTAGACCACCATGTCTGACCCAGTAACCAGATCTAGACCACAGACAGCCGTGTCTGACCTAGTAACCAGATCTAGACCACCATGACTGACCTAGTAACCAGATCTAAGCCACCATGTCTGACCTAGTAACCAGATCTAGACCACCGTGTCTGACCTAGTATCCAGATCTAGACCACCATGTCTGACCTAGTAACCAGATCTAGACCACCGTGTCCGACCTAGTTACCAGATCTAGACCACCATGTCTGACCTAGTAACCAGATCTAGACCACAGACATCCGTGTCTGACCTAGTTACCGACCTGACATTCCCTGAGAGACCACCTGTCAGAGACGTCTCCCCCTGCCTGCACGCCATCTCGTGAAACACATTTCTCCCTGTCCCAGCGAACATCACCGAGTCCTCTCCACTTCCACCTTCTACTCACCTACGAGAAAACAACGTCTACAGAATCATACACACGAGAGCAAATGCTCCCAAAAACTGTCAGCGGTCTGTGGTTTACATTTAATGTGTATACATTTATACCGGTGTTTAACAAGACCCCCCCTCCCAGTTTTCTACCAACCTTTGAAACATATTCCGAACACATTCCTCGTTTTAACCCTGAAGCCCGTCCACAACTCTTTGATAAATCAATATCTTACAGATTTAAAGGGGCTGTACTTAAACTGGATTCAACGCTTCATCACTGCTACATGCTTGCGGGGGGTACAATTGTATATATATATATATATATATATATATATATATATATATATATATATATATATATATATATATATATATATATATATATATATATATATATATATATACATATATATATATATATATATATATATATATATATATATATATATATATATATATATATATATATATATATATATATATATGCATGCCTTTATGTATATAGGCATATATATACATATATATAAATAAATTTTATAAATATATATATATATATTTATATATATATATATATATAATACATACATATATATTTAGGCATATATATTTAGGCATATATATATATACATATATATATATATATATATATATATATATATATATATATATATATATATATATATATATATATATATATATATATATATATATATATATATATATATATATATATAGGAGGAGATAGAAATGCTTTTGTTACATCACAGATTTAGCTTCCATCTTTGTGGAATTTCCCATTCCCTAATGAAAATTGTGAAATTCTGCTGTTTGAATTTAAAAGTGTTCTTTTTTTGTCTGCCTCAATGTCTGTCTTTCAGTCTGTCTGCCTGATGGCATTCTGATGTCCGATTGATGCCCATCTGATATATGTCTCCTTCCCCTCCCCTCGATCTGTTTTCCTCGCCGTCGTCTCGTCTGTTCTATCGTTCACTGTCCGTCACTCTACCTCCCTCTGATAAATCCCCTGTCCATCCATCCTTCGGTTTTCTCCCCTAACGCCTGTCTAAAATCTCGACAAACATCTTCCCCATTTTAACTCGCTCTCTCCATCCGTTGTAGTTTTTTTTTTCCTCTGATTATTTATTCCGGACGCCGTTCTATAAATTATATTAATCTCATTTTATCTCCCTTTTTTTCAAACCCGTATATCTTTGTCTTCAACTAATTCGTAAGTTTTTCTTACTTGGAAAACAGGTATGTTTTTCGACAAATTAACTTAATATTAATTGTAACATACTAATTACAATATATTAGCTATTGGTCTTTTATATTAGCTAGATTCTAAACCTTTACCACGAATATATATATATATATATATATATATATATATATATATATATATATATATATATATATATATATATATATATATATATATATATATATATATGTGTGTGTATATATAAATCCCTGTCCCAATCCCAAATGACTAGATTCGGTCTTTACTGACGACTACCTATGGGCTTTATTGAATGTACCTGTAGACCATTACGACAGGTGGTGACGATGTAGTATGACTTGTTATACTCTACTTCATCTGTCTGAGTAGACACATACTGGCCGTCGCTATGGTGAGCTGCCAGGGTGGAGGTGGCGGTTAGGCACTACATATCACATCAGAGGCGTAACGACCCTTCCCTGCGCCCGGGGACAAACTTTCGATTTGCACCCACCCCCTCTAACTTTTGATTTGCACCCCCCCCCCTCACAAACTTTCGATTTGCACCCCCCCCCCCCCCTCGAACTTTTCATTTGCACCCCCCCCCCCCCCTCAAACTTTAAAATTGTTTTTCCAACTCATTTTGGCGCCCCCCGCCCCCCCCCTCGCTACGCCTCTGTATCACATAGACGGCGGGAGTGTGGGGAGGGGGTTGTGGCACCAAATACCGCTCACCGTGACGTGTTTAGCGAGAAGACTGGGTTGTAAACAAGGTCAGACAGTTAAATGGACATTGGTCAGTTTTGTTTTACGTCCAATCAACTAGAGATGTGTCTAGAACTTAAGGCTCTAGGTGGAGGGCATTGGAACAAACAGTTTTCAGTCGTCCAGTGTTGTTGTTTGTTTATTTTCTTTCACTTTGTTTCTATACATAACCTTTATAACTTGTGTCTTCTAATGACTAATCTTTTGTCATTTGTATGCTAATGTATACCATGTTTGTGTCTCTAATGCTAAAGCAGTAAATGACATATTTTTGTTTGGTGCTAGAATGGCATTCATTGTTTGTCAGCGTGCATCTGGGTAAAAAATCGTTGCTATGTTTATTAAAGACATTGACGCGTCGTTGATAAACATCCAACAAAAAAAAACACGCAATATTTCTATTGAAAGAAAAACAAGATGCATAACCACGCTGACTAAAGAGTGTCATTCTTCCAACAAAAAGTCTCCTCTAACCAACACAGAAATAAAAAAAAGATCAATTCTCTTTGTGGTTATAAATACGTACTTGTAAAAGTTAAATAAAGTTCCCTTTTCGAACCTAAAGATCCATGGAGTATGTGAAGTAGAGTTCACTTATTTCTGTGACCTTGGTGTATGAAGGGATAGTGAGGTGATGACAATGCCCAGCCGCCTTTACTTTCCCTAACGTGAGTTAGGTACCCATCAGAGCTGAGTGATCCCGGATTCAAACTCGAGTCTTTCTGGTTAGCAGTATATCGATCTACCATTATGTTACGACGTACTTTACAGTATTTAAATGTACTTATTAGGTTATATATGATTGAGACTATTAAATATACCGATAGATGACCTTTCACCTTTTGATTCCCCAGAACTTGGAGCATTTAGTCAAGTTTGGTCCAATGCTGCTCAAGCAGAAAGCCATGTCGGTAAGTGCAAGTTCCGGAACCCAACCAAAACAACAGAGACACATCCAGACAAATAGAACACAAATCTTACTAGACATCGTTTTTGTGTAGCGCTCAGACAAAACTCGTTTCCATTCAACAACCATACATCCACCCTTATTCTCATTTAATCTGTTTCGAGTATTTGCATTTTGCAATATTTCTCCTTTGTTCATATATATATATATATATATATATATATATATATATATATATATATATATATATATATATATATATATATATATATATATAATTACCTCGTGAACACAGCACAATATAATGTATATTTTTAAATTGTCATGTTATGTCACACGACCTCACACATATTGTGATTTGTCAGCATACACAAAAATAGTTCGGCCTATTTTACACTGAACTACATTCTAAATATTTTCATTTCTGTGTGATTATCTCCCTAGATACAAAGTGCAGACATTATTGTCTATCTCTTGCTTGTGTCTGTCCTACATCTAGAATCTTCACATAAATGTCTGTCTATCACCAGCTTGAATTGATTGTGTAAAATGTTTATGCTTAACATATTTGCCAAACATTGAGTGGGGAGTTAGATCATTCAAGCTTATATTACTAAAGTAAGTTTTAATTTCCGTGTCGTATTACTTATCCGTTCAATTTTTTTTTTAAAATGTGCGTGGCTGCTTACGTAAGTTTAGTGCGGCTCTAGGGTTCTCGGAGGTATGTCAGATGTTACTGAGCCCACCCAGCTAAAATGGGTACCTGTATAGCATCATGCTTAGTCTACGATGCTGGGCTTTTGCTTGATCTACACAGGTGGGCTGGTGTACACAAAAGTTAGCTTCAGATACACTAGCACACCTAAGCTGCTAGAACTCAGGTGTATGAAAGATGTGACGTTAGTCACAACAACAACGCCAATATAGGTAGAGCTTAAACAACATCACGATGTGAAGTTCTCAAACAACATCATGATGTGAAGCTAACAACCCAACCACAACAATTGTCACGATGTGAAGATAACCACAAAAGCAACAGCATGATGTGAAACTAAGTACTGCAGCAACATCTAACCACAACAGCAACATCATTATGTGAAACTAAGTATTGTAGCAACATCTAACCACAACAGCAACATCATGATGTGAAACTAAGTACTGTAGCAATATCTAATTACAAAAGCAACATCATGACGTGAAACTAAGTACTGCAGCAACATCTAACCACAACAGCAACATCATTATGTGAAACTAAGTACTGTAGCAATATCTAATTACAAAAATCTAATTACAAAAGCAACATCATGATGTGAAACTAAGTATTGTAGCAACATCTAACCACAACAGCAACATTATGATGTGAAACTAAGTACTGTAGCAACATCTAACCACAACAGCAACATCACGATGTGAAACTAAGTACTGTAGCAACATTTAACCACAACAGCAACATTATGATGTGAAACTAAGTATTGTAGCAACATCTAACCACAACAGCAACATTATGATGTGAAACTAAGTACTGTAGCAACATCTAACCACAACAGCAACATCACGATGTGAAACTAAGTACTGCAGCAACATTTAACCACAACAGCAACATTGGTATGTGAAGCTAACCACAACAGCAACATCATGATGTGAAACTAAGTACTGCAGTAACATCAGTTTATGAATCTAACCACAACAGCAACATCATGATGTGAATCTAGCCATCACAACGACATCAAGATGTGAAGCTCTCAAACAACACTATGATGTGAAGTAAACTACTACAGTAACATCAAGATGTGCATCTAACAAAACATCAAGACATGTCTCTAACTCCACAGCAACATCATGATGTGACTTCAACCACCAAATCAACATCATGAAGTGAATCTAACCGACACAGCGACACCATGATGTGACTTCAACCACCACATCAACATCATAATGTGAAGCTAACATCTACATCAACACTATCTAAACAAACATTTCACAACGCCCACGGATATTACAATCGTGGCCAAGTTTAGATACAATTTACACAAATTATCTTAACACTCGCTAATGAACTGTCGGCGAGAAAGATTTCGTTTATTAAAATAACTGGTTCCTATCGGGGCATCAAGTTATTCCAGTGTACTTTACAGAATTATTTTTTCGGAAAACAAATGGTGGAGTATTGTGTTACTTCATTTAAAATCTGCGTGGCAGTGTTGTGTTTCAAACTAAAATATCCCGAGGATATTTTAAAACAACAGATGTAAAATATGAGTAATTGTGAGATTTAATTAGATTAATTAACCTAAGTATGTTTTGAAATTGTTTTTATAAAAGGTTAGTATGTGTCGTACTCACGTTGTTAAAATATTCACACAATCTGTTGTATGGCACAACAGTTATGTAAGATGTTGACACATTATTTTAAATAGCATATGCTCTTAAAGGTTACAAGTATCGCTTTAGTAGTTTCACCTTTACAGTTCAGTAGATTTACTCTTCTTTCGTGGTTACCAACATCTACCTTACAACACAAAAACAGGAAAAAATTCTTGTCATTATATCCTATTACTTTAATGTCAATCTTAACAAAGATACTCTCAGAAAATACAAATAACTTTAAAACATTTTATTACTATCCTGTATCATGTTTAGTAACATTATACTACATTTAATACTCTCCCGTTTGTATAATGTTTAGTAACATTATCTTACATTTGTTATAAGCCTGTTAGTCTAATGTTTGGCAACATCATCCAAGTTAGCAGTAAATTCGCGATATTGATCTGGCCACCCCACGTGAGGTTGATATTGAATTACCTCTGCAACTGTAAGCTGTAAGGGAACACTCTTTGGCCCATCTTACCTTACAAATACATATATTTTTACTAATGGAAAAGTATTTTCAACAAACAGCAAAAATGAAAATATTTAATTATAATATGTTATTTGAGATTTTGTAAAAATGTTTTCATTTCTGCAGTTAAGTGGGTAGTATTTCAAACATCTGTTTTCACGATAAAACAGGCAACATTTTTGAACCTCAACCTTTTCAAGATAAAATAAGCAACATTTTAAACCTCTCTTTTCACAGTAAAGTGGGCAAGATTTCAAATCTTGAACTTTTTAGAATAAAATGGACATTTACAACCCAGCCCTTATCAAAATGAAATGTACAACATTTACAACTTAGCCCTTAACAAAATGAAATGTACAACATTTACAACCCAGCCCTTAACAAAATGAAATGTACAATATATTAACAACTTAGCCCTTATTAAAATTAACTGGACAACATTTACATCCTAACCCTTTTTAAAAATAAAATGGACAACGTATTTTACAACCCAGCCCAAGGACGATAAACCTGGCTACATTATCAGCGTCCCGTGCACAATTCAGCACGTAGAACACTTAAGAAGCTCATTGAATCTGATTATCACGACGTATTAACATGGCTTCAACATTCTCCGCGATATAAAAAAAATCGCTACTTCTCTGTATTATTAAATCCGTCGAGTTTTTAGTAATTCCTACACAACAGCCACGAATCGTGCGGGTCTTCAGTGAAGATTTATAAAAAACGACATTAATATTCCATTTGCTAGCAGCTCTTTTATTACATTTTTATTTCTGTAGAACTTTTTATCTCCCTTTATTCGCTATTCTTGGGTTTTTTCCCTTTAAAATTCTTTCAGTTCGATATGTCATGTTTCTAGCCATTATCTGCCTAATCTACTTTCTTCTGGCCCCTTTTTTATCTCCCTTATTTCATCCCCTATTCTGCGCATCCTTTTTTATTTTTTATCGGTCTCAAGATTTTATCTCCGCAAGATGTCTGTCGTTTTACTATTTTATATTCCAAGTATTTATATTTTTTGTATTTAAGTACCGTAGTACGGTAATTTGATCTTTCCGTGCCTTTTTTTAATCTTCCGATTTTTTATTCTAATTTTAAGACTAAATAAACAGAAAATTGTCTTGTAACGTCCTTTAAAAAAGTTTCATTTTCTCTTTAAGTAATAAAATTAAGTTTTTTATTTAGTCTTCTTTTCTGAGTTTTTTGGTATATGATTATTTTGTGAGTTTTCTTGTGGGCTGTGACTTTTTACACAATTTAACTCTATCGGCGTAGTCACATCTAGCATTGTCTTAGTTTGGTAAGGGAACTCAAATGTTGTATAAAGAAATAGGCAGAGATAAAATACATGAGAAATGTATCGAGTTGGAAACATAAAGTCCACTTAAAGTAGACATAGAAGTAGACATAAAGTGCACTCAAAGTAGACATAGAAGTAGACATAAAGTGCACTCAAAGTAGACATAGAAGTAGACATAAAGTGCACTTAAAGTAGACATAGAAGTAGACATAAAGTGCACTTAAAGCAGACATAAAAGTAGACATAAAGTGCACTTAAAGTAGACATAGAAGTAGACATAAAGTGAGAGATCTAGAAGAAAATTTGTGTTTCGTTTATAAAGTAAACACCAAGTAGACTCTCGATTCTACCTGAACCATAACTCAACCTATCCTGTATCTACTGTCCAAATAACTATACCTCGACTCTACTTGACCAGGTCCTGCTGGTGTTTGGGAAAGAAGACGGCCAGTCTGACGGCTTCTGGTGGGCAGCTGAGAAGCTGGGGTACCGCTGCAACATCGCTGGGACGCCAGAGAACGCCCTGGAGACCTACCTTAAGTACCAGTACGATGTTGTTGTTATTGACGCCAGGAGCGCACACCACAACAGCTTCGATGCTGAGGCTCTCTGCAGGTGAGATGGTGTGGGGCTGGTGTGGTAATGGTGCTGGTGCTGGTGGATGGTGTATGGTGTAGTTATGGTAATGGTGTGATGGGGCAGTTGTGGTGCTGATTCTGGTGTATGGTGTGTTGATGGTGTGGTGTCCTCTATGGTGTGGTGTTGGTGGTTGGTAACTTAGATGGTATGATGGTGGTGGTTGTGTCAGTGTGGTGCTGATACTAGTAGTTGGTGGATTAAAATCACAAGGTCACGGGTAGTGGCGGTCTCGGAAGTCCAGACGTAGCGAAAAATGATGCTGTAAAATTTAAAAAAAAATGAAATCAGATACGAACGCTGTTTGACCTGTCCGCTTGACAATTAAGTCCACACTTGATTATATGTGTTAAGGTTTAAATATGGGGTCGAAATTTAGGCTGCGATGGGGGATATAATTATGGTTATGTTTAGTTTGGGATAGTGTTTATCTGCTAGGTGTTAGGTTTATTGAGCTTTAGTTAGCTACAAAGTTGAAGCTTTTAGGGTTAAGGGTTATGGTTTAGTTTATGGTTGTGTTTAGGTGTAAATTTTGTTTCAGGGTTAGATTTACTTATAAGTTTATGTCTAGGTCTAATGCCAGTATCGGTGCAAAGTTTTCTTTATTGTTCAGAGTTTAGTTTAGTTTTATGTTTGGGGTCTAGCTTTATATTCGGAGTTTAGTTTTATGTTTAGAGTTTAGCTTTACTTTTAGAGTTTAGAGTTTAGCCGTACGTTTAGAGTTGAGCTTTATGTTTAGAGTTTAGATTTATGTTTAGAGTTTAGCTTTACGTTTAGAGTTGAGCTTTACCTTTAGAGTTTAGCTTTACCTTTAGATTTTAGCTTTACCTTTAGAGTTTAGCTTTACCTTTAGAGTTTAGCTTTACCTTTAGAGTTTAGCTTTACCTTTAGAGTTTAGCTTTACCTTTAGAGTTTAGCTTTTCCTCTGTAGTTTAGCTTTGTGTTTAGAGTTTAGCCTTACGTTTAGAGTTTAGCTTTAAGTTTAGAGTTTAGCTTTATGTGCATATTTTAAAAAAATCAACCTGGGGTTAGCCGAGGTCACTTGATTATTAAAAGTGAAACCGAGTGCAGTCAGGTCGAGACGACAGTCAGCTCTGACCTAGATCGATCTCTCAATCAAACCACTCGACAGATGTGATTAACGCATAAATAAAATCTCTGGCCCATCAGGAAATAAACGTGAACATTTATGCATGAACATTTTTGTACGCGAATATTATTTCCACGGAAATTATAAATACGAATATTACAAATACGAATAATATAAATAGGAATATCAAATTTATGAATATTATATACGAACGTGTTTTTATGGGTAGCTATTTCTTATCTACGTCAGACTGAGTGATGACGGAATAAGATGTTGTTTATCTAAAGAAAAGTTGTAACCCGTATATTGGATTTAATATTGCTGGTTTGGATAGGGGGGGGGGTAGTTTTATGCCTTGCCGATATGCAAATGTGGTCGATGCGTTTAGATCAGTGGTCGATGCGTTTCGAAAAGATTTTAGTTCTCTTTTCCAATAACAATAAATCAAAAGTTGGTATGCGCTTGCGTAACATATATTGGTTATTGCTTTGGTTTATATTGTTATTGTTTTTTTAGATTGGTCGAAATACCGAATGAAGTCTGTCCCATAAAATCGATTTAACTTGGTTTTACTATGCGGGAATAAAATGTACATTTATACCAAGGGAAAGTTAGTTCAAATAAGATTCTGACAATTTGAAAAAAGGGAGATAAGATTGGTGACACTGGATAAGTTATCGTTCCTGTTTAATTGTACACTCGTTGACCGTGGTGACAGCTATACAAAAATAATTAAGTTGAAAACGTGATTAATGTCTGTAACTCGCAGTATGAGATGGGGCCGGGCATCATTAGCTGACTCATGATTGGAGATCAGTGCAGGATTATAAATGAATGTTGAGATTATTGACCGAGATATTTCAAGATTACGATTAAAGATTGGTGACCCTAGCTAAATAAATAATATGGCTGAAGTTTAGAACTGCATTATGGCAGATAATTAATACTAGATAATGACTTAATGATTAATGCTGGATTTTATGATTAAATATTAGTACTGGATTATGGATGAAGATTTCTGACAGATTATGACTTAGAATTATTGTTGGATTACAACTGCATTATGTCTGAAGCTGAGCACCTGATTAAGTAAATCTTACTTAACGTTGTAGTGCCTCGCTAAACGACCGTTATAATGTAAATCTTACTTAACGTTGTAGTGCCTTGCTAAACGACCGTTATAATGTAAATCTTACTTAACGTTGTAGTGCCTCGCTAAACTACCTTTATAATGTAAATCTTACTTAACGTTGTAGTGCCTCGCTAAACTACCTTTATAATGTAAATCTTACTTAACGTTGTAATGCCTTGCTGAACTACCTTTATAATGTAAATCTTACTTAACATTGTAGTGCCCCGTTAAACGACCGTTATGGGCAAATGTTAATTAACTTTGAACGGCCTCGCTGAACGACCGTTGCAAGACCATCATTTCTTTCCCGTCCCAATGCCTAAAACGAGGCAGAAGTTACGTAGCAGATGGCATATGACGTCACGTGGGACCACCTGCTGGGTGCGAACTTCCAAACATACCGAGGGTAACCTAATAATTAGCTCATTAACTCCAACCGGCAAGTCATTAGTGAGAGGCTGCTTAATAGTAGCGTGTGTGGGCCATACATTATATCTACGTATGTGTATACCTACATACATCCCAATGTTATAGGCCTATATATATATATATATATATATATATATATATATATATATATATATATATATATATATATATATATATATATATATATATTAGAATCACGAAAATATAGGCATACATCACATAAAATATATAATTATAACTTCAAATACTTATAAATGTATATGTATATTATTATGTATATCATATATTTGTATGTATTTATATTTATATAGTGCAATATAAGTATATATCCGTATATACTAAAAGTTATAATTTAATTACTGATTATTTAAGTATATTTATATTTATTCATTTATTTATGTATACCGATTTTATTTTTGTAATTCATTTTATTTCTAAAAGTGTGAATAATGTCGGTATTCGGAAATGTTCTATTTAGAAATGAGCTCCCCAAATACAGAAAGGTATAGGGCTTTTACCAGCACTTTGCCGGGGTTACTGTACTAATAGATCTAAGTTCCCATGAGGGACATAGATAACTTGTCCACTTGTGACTAACCCGAGATTTGTTTTCCCCAGGTCTATCAAGGCGACCAAAGCCAGCGAGTTCACGGTGTTGGTGGCTGTCACGAAGCGATAGTAAGTGTCTGTCTTATATGTTACCTGGTGTCTGTCTTATATGTTACCTGGTGTCTGTCTTATATGTTACCTGGTCTATGGCTAGCTGGACGGTCAGTAGATGGGATGGGGGGGGGGGAACATTAGGATGGTCAGGTGATTGGGGGGTTTTCGGGGATGGGGGTAAAAAATCAAATTATAACAACATAATGACGCCAGATTCTTCTTTTTGTAACGTGTGCTGATTTGCGTAACAATGTCTCTCTGACTTCAGTTCCCCACCCCCCCCCCCTCTCTCTCTCTCTCTCTCTTAATCTCTACACGTGTATACACACATACATGTATATATATATATATATATATATATATATATATATATATATATATATATATATATATATATATATATATATATATATATATATATATATATATATGTATGTATATATATATATATATATATATGTATATATATATATATATATATATATATATATATATATATATTTATTTATTTATTTATATATATATATATATATATATATATATATATATATATATATATATATATATATATATATATATGTTTATAATACTTTATCCAAAAATAAGAAAAAGGATTTTAAAAACTTAAAAAAATGCTAAATATTCTTCAGACAATTGTTCAATTTATCTCTTGACCGGAAGTCATACATACGTCTATCATTAGTCACCTAGGTTATGTTGCATGTGAATTTGAGACAGCTGTTGTCTTGTTGTCTTGGCTTACTTTGTATTGTGTCTATAAGGCAACACATATCTGAAATATCAGAAGTTCATAAAGGAAATACACAAACATTACTAATCGTGGTTTTATTTTAAAACCATCGTTTGGGAAAACCCGTTTGTGTTCGAATTTTTTTTTTTTGTAAATAAGGCAAAACAACAACAGTAAAACTCACAGCTTCCTGATAAATGCTACCACATCATAAGTCCCAAGGTCACCTCCCATAACAGCAGTGCCCCCCCCCCCCCCCCCCCACCAGAAATCCTCAAGGTCACGGCCGAGTTCCCCACGAACAGATGTAGACGCCGGTCGGGTTGTTGTCGCTGTGTTGTGTTGGGAGATTTAACAAAAGTCGGTGGAGGTTTGCGGGAAAATGGGAAAGTTGAAAAAAAAAAAAGTAAACAGCCATGTCACGTGACTGCCAAAGGTCAAAAATGTTTTGTTTGTTTTGTGAGGCTGTAACAGATGCCTTTAAGTTGGCCAGGACAAATGTGTGCCATTTTTTTTTTCTCGTACGGTTTGCTGAAAAGTACTTTAGTACTGGGTTTACGGCTGTTTAGGTTACAAGATTGTTGAAAGGTATAGGTTTATACTTACAATGTTGTGTTAAAAGGTATAGGTTTATGGTTACAAGGTTATGTTAAAAGGTATAGGTTTATAGTTACAAGGTTGTGTTAAAAGGTATAGGTTTATAGTTACAAGGTTATTAAAAGGTGTAGGTTTATGGTTAGTAGATTGTTAAAGGTATAGGTTTATGGTTAAAAGATTGTTAAAGGTATAGGTTTATGGTTAATAGATTGTTAAAAGGTTTAGGTTTATGGTTTAAAGAAATTAAATGTATAGGTTCAGGTTAATAGATTGTTAAAAGGTATATGTTTATGGATAAAAGATTGTTAAAACAGTTTATGGTTACAAGGTTGTTAAAAGGTTTATGGTTATGGTCTCAGAATTAGGTGATGTGTTTCACCTATGCATTCACTCCATAGTTTCTTTCAGACATTTTGCTTCACGGAGAGAGGGGGGGGACTTGAATCTTCAAAAGGGGAGGTGTTGGGGTGCTGACAATGGTTAAAGTATATATTTTCTATTAAAATATATTTTAAAGTCTATTTAGTCAATATACAAGCCCTCCCCCCCCCCCCACCCATGGAGAGATGCATGAAAGAAACAACAAACTATCTGTATTTGAAAAAATACCCCTATTAGATATTGACAGGATAACCTTAGCCTAAACTCTAAATTCTAGTTTTTGATTAAGCTGTCTCAAACTTGTTCTCTAAAATAGCACCTGTTCAACCTGACCTTTATAGCTGTCTCTAACTTTTAAATGCGTGTCTTAACACTCCAGATAAGACAGTCCAACGCTTCTTTTGAAATCAATTGACAGGAACTCCTAGCCTAGCGCCCTGCGGCAACTAAACTCGCTTAATAAACTTGGTAAACAGTTGCCGAGATGGATTAGGTCTTAATAGACTAGATTAGTGCTTCTTAGATAGTCTACATTAGTGGATCTCAAATAGTCAAGATTAATGGTCTAGTTTGTTGTGGTGGTTCGCAGAGTCTAGATCAATAGTTCTCAAATAGTCTAGTTAAGTGAATCTCAAATAGTCTCCTTAGGTGGTTCTCAAATATTCTAGATTAGTGGTTCTCAAATAGTCTAGTTTAGTGGTTCTCAAATAGTCTAGTTTAGTGGATCTCAAATAGTCTAGTTTGGTGGTTTTCAAATAGCCTAGTTAAGTGAATCTCAAATAGTCTCTTTACGTGGTTCTCAAATAGTCTAGTTTAGTGGTTCTCAAATAGTCTAGTTTAGTGGTTCTCAAATAGTCTAGTTTAGTGGTTTTCAAATAGTCTAGTTTAGTAGTTTTCAAATAGCCTTTTTAAGTGAATCTCTAATAGTCTAGTTTAAAGGTTCTCAAATTGTCTAGATTAATGCCTGTCAAATAGCCTAAATTAGTAGTTGTCAAATAGTTTATGGTTCTCAAAAAGTCTAGTTTTGTGTTTCTCAACTAATCTAGTCTAGTGATTCTCAAAGCCTGTAACAGATATTGTCAAATCTTTTAACGCTTGAGTTAACTGGGCCCCCGTCTTGTGTGATAATTTCTTCTGTTTGCCAACTTTTTACTTTCTCGTATATACGAAGTATAGAGAAAGTATTGTAATCGTGCAAAAAAAAAATCGAGATTTTTACAAATCTCGACGTTTTACACCTCACTGATACGGAAAAACATAATTTTGCAATCTTGTCCGTATGTCTGTGTGTGTGTCTGTGTGTCTGTGTGTCTGTCCGTGTGTAAACACGATAACTTGAGTACCGTTACAGCTAGGTGGATGACATTTCATATATAAGTATTTTATCAAAATCGTAGATCCGTATCAACTTTTGAGCGATTTCCGATAACCGGAAGTGGTACTTTTCCTACTTTTAATTTTTCAAAAGCCTATAACTTGAGTACTATTTCAGATAGATAAATGAAATTTCACATGTAAGTAAAAGATCTAATTCTCTACCTTCTGTTAAATTTTGAGTAATTTCCGTTGACTGGAAGTAGTACTTTACGCTACTTCCGATTTCTCAAAAAACTAATGTAAATTTTAAAAGCACTAATAATATTGCGCACTATTATGCGCTTTTTTATTTGGCGTTCACTTGGTGTGCAATTAATTTGTCTACGAGATTTTATTCTATTTTTAAAACTTTAACTTTAAGTATTTAAAATGGATTAAAAATCATGTCTATAGCCCGAGTTCCCATCCCCTGTTATTTTATATAAGAATATTCGAGAAAGTTTAGGGGAGATCACTCCCGGTTTATTTTTTTTTAGTAGAGTTTAGCTCTTCACATCACAAATATCACATCCATCTGGTGCCTTAATCAAAGTACGCCCGCTAACTGAGACGCCCAGTAAAGTACTGTATTAGCCCACGCTTATCCCATCATTAGTATGCATGTGGTATTTAATTAACCAGCTTAATTAGCAGGCCGCGTGAAGTAATCACGGATGCAAGAATGAAAACAGCAGATTTCTAAATACCACACTTTTCCATGTGCACCCACGCCCTAAATACTTCCCTAAACAACACCCCCCCCCCCGAACTCCCCTGTCCTATGTAAGTGCCTAATAGAACCCCCCCCCTTTCTTAAATTACCCCCCCCCCCCCGCACAGACACTCAACACACGTAGACATTTAATAAGTGACTGAACTACTGCCTATACATGTAACACCCCAACTTCCTTGTGCTAAAAATTTTCTTTAAATCCTCGCAAATCCATACTAGGTGGCGGGGCAGTGGGGAGGGGGAAGAGTTGGAGATTAACGTCAAATGGCAGCCATCTTGTAAAATTACTGTCGATGGAGGGAATGACAGAAAGAGCGGGGGGGGGGGGGTATAGAGTATGAAGCGGAAGTAAAGAAAACGCAAATATCTAAAATAGAGATTTGGTCAGATTAAGAAAGAAAGATACGAAACAAAAGATGAAATGAGAGTTTAAAAAAGGAAGGATATAATAATGGTATACGTAGCTGTGTAACACTTTTTGTTTTGATGATAGTCCTTATATCACTGAATCAGTTAACAAAAGGTATCTTTCTATTCAGTTGTATTGTTTTAAAATAGGTTCCTTTGTGTTATTACTTTAGATAAAAATTTAGTATAAAATCTTGGCTATGAAAAATAAATAAAATAACAAAACTAAAACATTAATAAATAAATAAATCATTCCATAACCCCGGGTGTGATGTGTGTGTGTGTGGGGGGGGGGGGGGTGCGTTGGGGCACAAGTTGATTTTTTCATAATCTTTTTTTATTTTGGTCATCTTTCCCTGTCTGCTGCTGTTTTAAGTAGTTCTGCAATGGCTGTTCAGCCGTTCCTTGATGTTCTCCATCCACTATCGTCTTTACCTTCCTCGTCTTCTAACGCTGTACACCGTGCTCTGCAGAGTGGCTTTATACAGCACGTTATAAACATACAATACGTTTAAAAACTAGACAAATAGAACCACAAATAGCATGGATAAACACAGATCGACTGTTCTAGAACTGAGACCATGGACAAGGTGGTACAAAGTAAATAAACAATGATACAATACCCGCTGACTTTACTAAAAGAAAAAATCTAAGTAAAAAATCAGTACAATATTTTTTTATGTGTCCTCAGCTGTGATGACAAAGAGGAGCCGTCCATTCTTCCTTTGCTGCAAGCCGGCTTTACCAGAGTAAGTGCTTTGTGTTTTGTTTTTGTGCCGGCTTTTTTAGAAGGTTTGTGTTTAGGTTTTTGTTCCGGCTTTACCAGAGTAAGTGCTTTGTGTTTTGTTTTTATGCCGGCTTTAGCAGAGTACGTGTTTTGTGTTTTGTTTTTATGCCGGGTTTGTCAGCGGATGTTGAGGTTTTTTTTTAGTGCCGGCTTTACCAGAGTAAGTGGTTAGTGTTTTGTTTTTGTGCCGGCTTTTCTAGAAGGTTTGTGTTTTTGGTTTTGTGCCGGCTTTTCTAGAAGGTTTGTTTTGTTTTTGTGCCGGCTTTTCTAGGTTTGTGTTTTTGTTTTTGTGCCGGCTTTTCTAGGTTTGTGTTTTGTTTTTGTGCCGGCTTTTCTAGGTTTGTGTTTTGTTTTTGTGCCGGCTTTTCTAGAAGGTTTGTGTTTTGTGCCGGTTGTTCTAGAAGGTTTGTGTTTTGTTTTTGTGCCGGCTTTTCTATAAGGTTTGTGTTTTGTTTTTGTGCCGGCTTTACCAGAGTATTGTGTGTTTTAATGCCGGCTGCACCATATGGTTAGTGTTGTGTCTTATTACATTATCCAATCTGTAGCACCTGCCGCTCTGGTGATGACCTTGTGCCGGAACAGTGTGACCCTTTCCACGAACAGGTCACGTCTGATCATCTGGGTTTATTGGATTAGTGACGTCACTAAGTCGGGCGTCACCAGGTGTGCTAACTGATGGTGTCACCCCGCCCCTGAAATCAATTCTAAATTTTCGGTTTGGTGTCACCCCTACCCCTACTATTTTATTATCAAACATTGTTTTGACAGAACATTGTACGATTTGGCTTCTCCCCTATATGGAGTCACCCATTGCTGACCACACCCCTCCCGCCCTGTGACGTTACTTAACTGAGTTAATATATTTGAACCTGATCTATATTATCCCGTGGAAATAACCTTATATTCATGAAAAACATCTAAGATAGAAAGCATCTAAAAATATGTTGGTTAAAAATAGACTTCAAGGTCGAACTACACAACAAACCGCTAGGCTCGATTCATGGCATATTGTAATAATGATAAAGTGAGGCTTCTATGGATCAACATCATCCCACCCCCCCCCCCTTACACCCACCCCACCCCCCTTTACGTTATCTTAAAATACTTTACATGATTTTCAGACATTTTTAACCACATTTTGAACTCGAACATATAAATCGTACAACCTTATCCAGTCACTATTTGTTTTCAACATATCTCCTATTTTTCTTCTCTTCCCCCCCCCCCCCACCTCTCTCGTTTTCATCTTACTCCCTCTCTTTTTCTGTTTCTCTCTTTCTCTATTCCATCTATCTCCATATCTTTCTGCCTGTCCTTGTCCCTCTCATTCTAAGTTCACCAAGTAAATTAGGGAACCCAACATATTTCCTCCATATTCAACCCCCCACCCCCCCTATAATGAAAAAAAAAACACATTCATTTTCCCCACTCTCTCCTCACACGTCTTTCTTCCCACACACTGAATACCTCCCCCACATTATCTCACATCACCACACTCTGCCCATCTCTGTTTCCCACACACACAGATCCCATATTAACCCTCCCCTCCCCCACATTATCACACATCACCACACCCATCTTAATAAACCGGCCGCTCATGTCCTCTCCCTACACCACAGCCAGCTGAACCCCTACAACAGCTAACAGAAAGAGGAAGATATTTTCTTTACATCAAACATCATCATGGGAGACAATCTCCAAGATTTCGCAAACAAGAACGTGTGCGAGCACTTTCTGCAGGTTCTAATTAAGCTCTGTCTCTAATCAGGTGTGTTCAGACATTGATTAGGACAGGGGAGATATTGACGTCAGTGATTACGTTTTTTTATTTACCTGGAATATTTTTTTAGCCTTAATTACGTGTTTTGATGAGAGTTAGAATCTTAAAAGGGGAGTTAACTCGGCGTGAGCTGAGAATTCATGCCAAATTTGCGTGTGTTAAGGGAGGTAATCCATGGCGAGAAACCGTTGGTCTAAAATAGTCTAAAAGAAAGAAATAGTACATTTGCAAACCATATTTTACTTGCGTTTTTAGAAATACAAATGACTTCTTAACTTTGACTCCCATACTGCCCAGAGCCGCCGAGTCCCATATTTTTTTGCGCTCTTTAGTCATCACTTAGGCCCCAGAGTAATTTTTATCATCGTATCATCTGAAACTTTAAATAAAGCCATATGTTCGAGTTATAAGTTTCGAATGGTCATACTACTTACCTTTTATTCCTGAACTGTTTTTCCCATTACTATAACCCCCACCCTTGCTAAGACCTATATTGGGACCCATCAGCCTCATCAGAACCCGAACACTACTGGACCCTCAACCCTACACGACCTTGAACCCCTACCCCTGGAACCTGGTCTCAATAATTATAACAAGCTGGATTAAAACGTTGTAAGAACCCGGATCCCAATGATTTTAAGAAACTAGTTCTCAATCATTATAAGAACCTTTACCCCAATAATTATAAGAACTTAGACACCAATCATTATTAAAACCGGATCCCAATCATTATAAGAACCTAGACCCCAATCATTATAAGAACCTTTACCCCAATCATTATAAGAACCTAGACCCCAATCATTATAAGAACCTAGACCCCAATCATTATAAGAACATAGACCCCATTCATTATAAGAACATAGATCCCAATCATTATAAGAACCTAGACCCCAATCATTATAAGAACAGAGACCCCAATCATTATAAGAACATAGACCCCAATCATTATAAGAACATAGACCCCAATCATTATAAGAACATAGACCCCAATCATTATAAGAACATAGACCCCAATCATTATAAGAACATAGACCCCAATCATTATAAGAACATAGACCCCAATCATTATAAGAACATAGACCCCAATCATTATAAGAACATAGACCCCAATCATTATAAGAACATAGACCCCAATCATTATAAGAACATAGACCCAATCATTATTAAAACCGGACCCCAATAATGATTAGAGGCCAGATCCCAATTATTATTCTAACCCTGTACCAGGACTAACCCAACTCTCTGGTAGGTTTCGAACCCTTCGACCCACTAGTATAAAAAAAAACTCTGATACCTTCCAGAGTTTGAACCCCGATCTTCTAAGGTTTATACATCAGTACACGACCTTTGACCCCTAGGGCAAAACTTTTTGACCCTCGTCGCTGATTGGTCGAGGACAACAAAACCTCTAACCTGGCCAGGTAACGTCCGCCACAATAAGAGATTAGCTTGCCAGATACGAGTTGGACTCACCCTTGAAAATACCATAGACCACCGCGGCAAATATCATGGACCTCCCCCCCCCCCTCCCTATCAAACTCAGTGGACCCATCCATGAAAATATCGTCCACGCACCCCTAGACCCACCTCACAAATATAATATCTTTGACCCCCACAGCAAATATCGTGGATTCACCCCCCCCCCCCCCCACACACACACACACAAACACACCAATCAAACTTTGTGGTCCCACCCCTGAAAATATCGTCGACCCTCGGCGTCAAATATCGTTGACTGGTCACCCACCCCCTCCACCTTCTCCTCCCCCCCCCCCCCCCCCCTCGATGAAATATCGACGTGGTCCTGTTAAACCATAACACTTATACATAATTAATTATGTTTTTTTGTTTTAACGTTTCGCCTCCGGTGAGTTAAAAGTCGACGAATGTCGGTCTCTGGTCGAAGGCAAACGCGCAAGCAATCAGTTAACCTGCTTTTCCGCATTGATCACGGGATTTAATGAGAGTCATTAATCTAATTACCTGCGGAGTTTGTCTCTGCCTGACAAAAGTAACGTGTAGATCAGGTGGATTAAAGACTCTAGAATTAATCGGGTTATAGCGTATTAACGCTGAAGCTAACTGCAAGTGTGTGTTTAAATTTAAACGTAATCATAATAATTATCTGGGCTCTCGGTGTGGGAGGGCAGAGATGTGTGGGAAGAATGTGGGAAGAGTGTGGGAAGAGTGTGGGAAACTAAATACCGCTGGGTTTTTTTTTAAATAGGTGAGGGTCGAATATGGGGAACATGTTGAGCTCTATAATTTACTTCGACACGTTTAGGATAATCCTCGCATTCATCCTAAGCAAACTCTCTAATTTAGCCCTTAACTTTAAACCTCATGCTAATAAAAACCATAAGGTTAAATATTATGCCGAATCTTTTAAAATGCTGATTCTTCTGGCTCGGGTAGCGACCCCCAAATACAAATTCCGATCTGGAAAATATTTTACCGGAACTGTTTTTACATAAAATGGAACCCAATTAAAATGGGGAAGGGGGGGGTGCCCCGTTGAAAAATGAAAATATCTCGTGAAATAAGGACCACCCTAACATATATATATATATATATATATATATATATATATATATATATATATATATATATATATATATATATATATATATATATATATATATATATATATATATATATATATATATATATAATGCTAAGTATAGCTCACTATCGGTACGTGCTTTTAATAGTACGAGAGCAAGCATCTGTTTTACTTCGTTGATCCCCCCACCCCTCCCACCGCCCTTACACCAACTCAGAATAGCCCGGCAAATCGATGTCACACGAGCTAAGATGAAAAAAAAAACCTTCCCAATTCGCTTCAAGCCAAGTTCGATGACCTTTGACATTGATCAGTACGGCGGCCGACAACAACAACGTACGGCTAATGCGCAGATAGACTAGGTCCTGATGCAAGGACCGAAACCCCGCGGTCTGGGGGGGGGGGGGGGGGGAGTAAGAAAGTGTTCTAAGGACGAATCGTCGTGAGAACATTTGATTGGCTAGTAGAACAGTGGCTAGATTCGCCGGCTAAGTCCCGTGTAAGTAAATCGAAACCGTCATCAACAAATCCCTTGACGGGGAAACTGCGCAGTACTTTAGTAGCACGTCGCCTTCCAGATAGACAGAGGTTGCTAGTTAGTTCTAACGTTTATTTTATT